TTCAATGGCTCGAGATGTCTTCGCCACCTAGTTTTACAAAATATAATTATAGCCATATCTTGGGTCTCTTGATGGAAAAGTTTGACTCGATTTGCACGGAAACCCACCCAATTTTGGAAGTGTCACATGGTCTATACATTTTTCTTTTGAAATCCCTCCTGAATCACTTTGGCCCCTTTTCGTTACATTCCATATCGATAAAAAGTTAATTTGTCATTTCAGAAAACTCCTCCTAGTCCGATGAACGGATTTTCATTAGTAAGGAAGAGGATGTCGCTCTTTCATCCACTCCGAATGCCGAACTGTGAGCTTTAAAGTTGTGGAGTATCAACATTCAACTTGTCATTTGGAATTCTCTATGGTTGATGCTAGTGGTATTATTCGAAAGCCTCGACCATGACCCAGTTTCGTATTTTAATGCACAGGTAGATATTTAAATTCTCAATTCGCATGGATGATGTGCGAATTCCACCCTATGCGTTGAATCCAGTCGATGGACTGTCGGTCATCGAGCGGCCATGCAGCCGGGGTGATGCAATACCGAAGGAGCACACGCAAACTCTCACTCCCTCCCCTCCCCGTCCCCACTCAACTTCTCATGCCTGACCTTACTCCACCTGCCTACACCTTCCAATACCTTCCTATACTCTGCCTTACTTTATATGGAGCAGAGTGGCGCAGCGGAAGCGTGCTGGGCCCATAACCCAGAGGTCCGTGGATCGAAACCACGCTCTGCTACAAGTGTTTTTGACCCAAGCCAATTAAAAGTTGAAAAAAAGGTTCCCTTAAAATTGGAACCCTGTACTATTTATCGGAGTCGGAAGAGCTCGCTACTTAGGATGGCGTATGAAATTGAACCATGAAGAGCGAGAAAAAATTTTTCTGCTCCCGAATCATATGAAGATACCAATAACTAGGAGATAGCCCGTGCAAAAGCACGGAAAAATTTAAAGATAAATAATGAGAATATCGCCACAAGGACGCCATCCCCCTGAATCCGCCACTCATTATGTGAAAAGACAGGATGCGGGAAAAACACTTCTATTGATAATTTCGGGAAGGTCTGCCTCTGCGCTTTGCTAATCGTCATGGGGACGGGGAACTGAAGCCGAGAGAAGACGAAGGGTAACCCAAAGATCAAGGCGTTACCTTAAATCTTCACTTTGTATGACAATGTGGTATGTGGGCTTATACAGTATTAGCGGCCTCACACTACTCGCATCGTAACCCGTCGCGCACGTCTCCGAACGTTAATTGCCATAGGCCACGCTGCGTGTACCTTTTACTATGGGTTTGGGAGAGCCTGAATGAAATATACCAGCAATATGCCTGTTTCTTACATTAATTGACTTACATCTCTTTCTTACATCTGATCTTACAATCATATTTATTGACTTGCATCTCGAGCACGAGCGAACGGCGAAGAGCATGAGGAAAAACGAGTGACTAAACTCGACCTTCTGTCATTGTCCCGAGTTTGCAGTTCTTCTTCGATCGAACTCCCCCAAACGAGAGTCCAATTTGGCACAGGATGCGAGGGTAAAACTGCAGAATCCACCCCAATTCATCGGAATCACTTGATATGCATGTAAACGACCTATTTTGAGAATCCTGAAAGGGTTCAATAGAGATATGAATCGACCGCAACGGTTGGGTTTTTCTATGCAGACGAATGGGGGCCGGAAGGCAAACGTCCTCCTCCCCTTTCCCTCCCCTCCTCCTCCGCAAACACACCACCGGACTCTGGATATGCAATCGTGCCTCTCCTCACTATCCTTTTNCCCCCCCCCCCCAAACCCCCCCCCCCCCCCCCCCCCCCCCCCCCCCGGTCAAAGGTATAAAAGCAGAAAGATTCCCTGTCCAGCGCACAGTCATCCACCTCCGACTGCAGTGCTTCTACGTCTGGTAAGTCCTCTCTCCCCCTCTCCTGGTTTTTTTTTCGGTGTGGTGTCGAATGCGAAGGTTGTGCCTTTGTCTCCGTGTTAGCTGATCGAACTGACATGCATCTTCCTTCACCTTGTAAGCGTGTCACTGAGATGCATCTAAAAGCATTGGATTGGTAACTGGTTTACCCTTCATTTACAAAATTTCCAAGTGTCCAGGAATTATGTGGTAGTATCGAAGTCCGTGGAATGATCTGGATTCTGCAACCACTTCAGATTTTCTACTGCTGCCCAGGAAGCATACAGGAGATATGAACGGAGACAGAGTAGCATGAAAAAATGCAGCTGATTATGGCCATTTTTTAAGGCTGCATACTAATAAATTCGATTCGAAGGACATCTCACGGATGCGGACGGTTCTGACTAATGTTGATGGTGTCTTGTTCCTTTTTCAGAAGACCCTCTCCACATCACGACGTGGCATTCATGGAATGCACCCACGCCCATCCTGGATGAACCTGAATTGTTCCACCGGAGTGGCGTCCAATCTCGTGCCCTTACCACAACATTGACCTGCCCGGAACGGTCCTTTGGTTACGTTGGATTTCCCAAGCAGGACGGATGGCAGAGTCCTCTGGCAGTTTATAATTTTCGCTGCTATGGGGAAAAAAAGTAATGCAATACAGACGATACAACGATTTGTTTTGTACATAATTCCTTTACTTCCCCTACGTTCCCCTATTCACAGCAGTGGTTCTCAATGTTTTTCTCCTTTTTTACCAAGGGAACATTGACGGCATCCCTGCACTTTGCCATAGACTGGCAGTACCAATAAGCCTAAATGAAAATATCCAAATCCAAGAACTTCAAATTTTTCTCAAAGGTACCATTATTAGTTTATTACATTACCGTTTTTTCTATTCAAGCACTCACTTTTTCTTCAACAGACATCAGTGTGACAAATCCTTTACGAAGAAGTCCTATAGGTTTTTCCCGTATTATACCTGTAGGTTCAATTGCACTCCTCACCTGTATACTGCGAGGCGATGTTTGGTTTCGAAACCCTGGGATTACTACCAAATGGGATGGCTACCATGGTCAAAGCTCTCCTCTTAGATCATTACCGAGGTATTTCCCATGATGAGAATATTTAAATCTTGCGTGAGCTGTGAGCTTGCAAGTACGCAAATCTACCTTCCCTGAAGAGAGAAGGTTCATTCTGCGTAAATTTCTTTCCGAAACTACCTTCAGAAAAAGTGAAGCTTATTCATTTTTGGGGTTCTCATAGGGAATATAAACTTGTGCTAATAAAAAATTCGCACCCTGTCCACATGTGTGGGACGTATGTGCTCCGCCCCTGTGGATTTTGTTTGGGTGTGGAATTTCCTCACGAAGAATATCAACCCTGGTAGATTTGGCTGGGAATTTCCTTATGAGGAATACGGTAAACACCCCCACTTAATCCCTCGGTTTTGGTCACGCTGATTCCACTCCCAAAGGAAGTGGTGCGCACACCAGTGCAAAGTATCCTGCGAAAGTGGAATTGACGATTCTCAGGAGAGCAGACAACGTCTATCCAACAGCAATGAAGAAATTAAGCTCTAGTGGAATCCGTGCCCGAAATATCTATCCACAATTCACATAAGAAAAGAGTGAAGAAAGAGAAAGTTCCCTTGGTAGATTGGTTCACTGTGGACGCAACTATCTATTCCCTGATCGACAGAAGCAATTAGAAAGGAGAAGGCCATCGTCCCTCCTACCTCCAATGGGGGAAGTGTCACCTCGGCAGTTATTCGATAAGCATCCGTGCAATGCGACCTGCAGATTTCGGACGGATCGGACTCATTTCGCCTTTTCCTTTCTTCGCCGCCTTTACGTCGCAAAATTCCTCGTCTTCGGATTCCTCAGAGGAACCCGAGAGAAGCAAAATCGAGCACGCTGTGTACTCTCTCAATTAAGAATAGTTGACACATTTGGACCTATTTTTGCCCCTTGTTTACTGAGAACACTGAATATTATTTCCTGAAGATGTCAACTTAATTAATTTTTCCTCCCCCTAGAGGACTTCGGAGGAAAGAGACTAACCAAAATAATGGTATTCAAACGTAGGCAGCCAAAAATCCCTTATTTATTTTTTCCATCGAAACTATATTGCTAAATTAAAAAAGATGCTCGCTTCCGCTCATTCAGTCTAAGCGCAAGGATATATTTGATACAAGGGGAGTACAAGGTCCAATGGCACCTTATTTTTCACTCAAGCAACAGGCAATGGCAAGAGCAGTGAAAATTTCCCGAGATGTTGCGGCAACTCCGAGCGATGTTCGACCGGACGATAAAGGTGCGAGGAGATTTCCTCGTAGAAGTAAACAAGACGGCGTGAGATGCTGCGACTCCGGCATCGGAACAGCGACGCACGTAATCGAATTTCTGACGAATTTCAAGGTGGTGGAAATGCACCGTAGACGAACAGAACTGTTTGGAAAGGCTGATCTTCCAAGGCAAATGGTCTGCCGTTCCTTTTGCTTGGACCTTTAAATAAATAAAAAATTTGTCTGGGAAGAAATTCCAGACAGATGAGGAGGTGCAGAATCGCGTCCTCCGTTTGCTTCGACACCAAACGAAATACTTTTATTCCAAACTCTCCCAGGAGTGATATCGGGACACTAAGATGAACCAATCAGGAACAACTTGAGAATCGCGTGAGTACAACGTCTTATGATCCGTCTCAGTCGGTCCTCATTAGGACGGCGGATGATTCACTGTGCTTTGGTGGAACTGTACCCTAATCTAATGGAATTCTCGTCTCGTCGCACCAAATAAGCCTTCCTCTCACCCCAAAGAGCGAGATACAATGAAAGTTTTTTTGCTGCAATACGGGATTTTACGCCCTTTTCTACATTGCACATGGACTTCGAGAAATTCCATACCCATCACACGATTGCGAGTCTTGAGTTTCTCCCTATAGATTCGACGAACAATGGAGAGTCTCCCTGTCAGTTGCCCGAGTTCGGCTGGAAGACCTCAAATTCCTGACGAATGCTAATTGCAATTCTGGAGGAAAGTGAATCAAAAGAGGATACCTAGGCGTTTGCAAGTCTGCTGTATCGAACAAAAGCCATGGAGCGGGGAATGCCGTCAGAGCGAATGCCGTATTGCGCATCATCTGCCTTGAGACCTGTGGAGATTGCTCGCCCCTTTTTCACATCTGAAATGCATATCCAAACTGCCATTCGAAAATTTGGAACTTGGGGACATAAGAAGAGAGACCGAGAAAAGGGGAGTGGAGTGGTTGGAGAGGAAGACAGCAACGTGTCGGGTAGGACGGGGTTAATGAGAGGGAGGCTCTTTGGGACTTGGTTCATTTGAGCCATCTTTTTGTTCCTCGAGGTAACTTTTCCTTCGGGTGCGTCACTTTTCCCTGTTATTTGTGTTGTCTGTCTGTTTGTTTTTCGTCCTTTCTATCATCTCTTTTGCTTTTGTCTCTATGGCCTTGGGATCGATAAAGGAATTAGAGATGCTCTTTGTTGGGAACATTCCCAAATTGATACGTGGCACATGCAGGTCATCCCTCGACGACGTCTGCTGGCCGAGCAGACTTATTATCCATGAGTACCACTACTCTAGTTCGATGAGCCATTTTGCCTACGAAACCCCTTTCTAACGTTATCCATGCACTCTCATGGATTTACATTGACAGACCGAAACTTTGCGTGTCCCCGAACGGTCAGGGAAGTACACCCTCAAAGAAATTCGTCCTCGTGGTGTTCTCGACTTCCAGAATGAAGAAGAAACAATGCAAGCGGGAAATATCGTTCATGGGTATTAAAAACCCACTAAAACACGTAGTTATATGTATCCCCGAACTATATGCAGAACTAAATGAAGTGAACCCCTTCTTTCTGCTGCTGACGACACATTTTAGCACAGGTTCGAAGACAGTTCTACCTAGTATTTAGCAATTCTATTTCTGAAAGGTGAATCATTATTAGACCCTTTTCATCCGCTACACAGTGATTACTGGATAATACTCGACATTCTCGCACCCAAGCATGAGGTTGAGGACCGTAATAGTATCGGAATCCCTAAGTTTGCCCTTGCCCAAGTCACCAGATCAGGCCACGTTTCTGGTCTACTTCGTCGGTCGTACGATTACCACCGTATTCGTTCCACGAATCCCTTCTCAACGAGGCATGTAACACCCTTTAGTCTTGATATGCGCAATTCAGCGAGTTTTCGTCCTCTATGGCTGACTCCCCAGATAAAAGAAAAATCGTATGGCTAAGCCTAACCCACCCAGGGATGTTTAGGCTGACACCACTCCTACTTTCTTTCTTCGATGAAGCGGGAACACGAACACAACGTTGGGTTGCTGACTATAGGTAGAGCTCGACTTTGGAGGCACATGCCTGGAAGGAACTCATGTAGCTGGCCTATATAAACCCTCGGACGGACGTCCGACCGAGGGTGGATCTCTCCTCTAGTAGTCTGTGTGTTTTCATGGTTTTGAGTTCAAATTCAAGATCGCTCTTGTGCATTGGAAGATCCTTTTGTACATGGACACATGCGTTCCAGCCGAATGAGAAGTATGTTCCCATAAGCTCGTTGGCTTGTTTGCTGCGCCATGGTTCAATTAGTTATCATCGCAAGTTAATAAGCAATCACAAGATTTTTCCCACGTGTATTATTCATTGTGTTGACACTGTTGCGGTTATCGCATGGGCTTCGGGATGTGATAAGATACTATTTCATAAATCGTGGACAATATTTAGGCATTATAGGGTGGGAGAGAGAAATCATCGCTCCGTACCTATTGAGAGAAAATATCTATCCCGCCATTTCTTTGTTCAAAGCCCCATGACATTCACTGTCATACCTTGCCCGATAACAGCCTGCTTCCCTTATAATGAGATTGTCGTTCGGGAAGCGGGGAGCCAGCCCACCCCATGCCCCATGCCTCTCGGGGCTTCCACACTTTCATCCATGCTTCTTTGTACTATCTAATGTGAGCGAAGATGAAAGAAAAAGTTTCAATAATGGAGATAGGCTGGGTCCGCCCTTTGTCATATTTGCTTTTTTCATTTAATTTTGCAAGACCTTTACTTTGTGTTTCGATGGGCATTGGCGAGTGGATCTTTCAGAATCACGAAATTTCGCTCCCACATGAGACCTATGAATCACTTTGAAATCGATGGCTCTTCTCAACATCAGCGATAGAGTAATACGTCCATTCGATGGCACGCATCTCGCCAAACTACCTTCATCACTGAATTCTGCAGCATTATGCAATGAAGTTAACATGTATCCCTCGTGTATTGAGTACAAATTTTCGAAGTTTAACGCCTGTAATTGTGGATCTGAAAGCTTCTCACGCACGACACAGAGGCAAGGACAAAAGTAACACCCGACTCATCATGCAGGCGTGACCCCCATCTCAAGAGGTGAAAGACGATGCTCCGGCCGCTCATGGACTCTAAGCTGGATGTCCCACGCCCGGCATAGAACACGACACGCGCCCATTTAAAGCGGATCATTTGATGTTCACACCCCGCCTTCATCGTTCCATCCTGCACTCCGACGGAGGATACGACGATGGAGACTCGTGCATCTTTCTTGTGCTCGTGGGCCTTGCTGGTGACATTTGGATCTTGGATCGATTTTTCTCGTGCTGAATGCGACATTTCTTCGAAACCTTCTGCCATTTTCGATAGCGGTAGGTTACCTTCGTTACGAAAGTTGAAAGGGCACGTTGATATAACCAGTTGCAGGTAAACCTGCTGCAAACCGGAGGAAACGAAGTGCTTTGTGGTCGTGCTGAGAGTCACCATGATCTTCAGAGACTACCACTGACGGATGTAAAAAGCATACAGGCTCCATTAGACTGGTGATTACCCTTGGCACCCGATTACGTGAATGGACTACGGTGGCAACAAACGCGAAGAAAAATACTTTAGTAAATCCTCAGAACTGAAATAATGCAGCACTTATCTCGGCAATGTCATGTATCTAACCTCACGTCAACTTTCATTCCACGTGACGCCCCAGCATGTCGATGAAGCATGGTGTCCGCGAAGCAATATAAAAAGGACTAAGGATCAGATTTTCTACACAGGTATGTAGTTTGAAAGCAGCATGTTGCGCTGAGGGCACCTTTCAACCCATGAGAGAGCGTTTTCCGCTACACACTGCTACACACCCTTCCCGTATCGGCGCACAGTTGCGAGACAGAAAGCACGGGAAATGAACCTGCCAATTGTGGGCGAGTCCCTGTCTCAAAGACATCGACAGCCAGCAGCACATATGTAGAAAGGCGGGGAACATGCCACCCACAGCATGGCCACAATCAGCAAATCATATTATCTACTACAAGCTCCCGTTTCTTATATAGTGTACTTTTCCTGATTAACTTTTGCTATCTACCGAAGCGGTTGCGGTTGGTTCTTCCTAACTGGCGGCCAGCATGGCGCACGCAATACGTCTAACCGGAGGACCACGATTCCCTCGCAACCTCAGTCCTCCGGTTTTAATTGGGTTGGTACCCCCCCTCCCCTTCCGTCCATCAGGACGAGAGGAAAGCACAAACACCATCGCTCATCGGCTTTCTCGCCCCGTCCGTGAACGTTAACCGAGTACATCGGTTGCTTTGCAATCGAGGTCCTCCGGTTTGAATAATTTCTTCCATTTTTCAGACGGATGTGGAGAATGGTCTCGCAGGCAACCCAGGATCATCAACGGCTCCGGTGTGCAACACATAACGTCAGCACCTTGGATGGCATCCATTCACGTTCAGATCTATGGATATGGTTTCGCTTGTGCCGCGACGATCATCCACCCGAGATTCGTCTTGACCGCTGCACATTGCCTTTTCACTGAGTGAGTCTCCTTCGGGAGATGCTCGTCCTCGTCGATCCATTCTGAAAATCTTCCAGCACATGCTTTTGCCGTCTCGCTCGTTCGACCGAATCTGCGAGTCTTTTGAACTCCAGCTGGGAATCTCTACTTCACAGAAAACTTTAATTTTATCTGCTGGCAGCAGTGCACAATAACGTTTTCCTTTGAAATCGGTTTGATTGAAAGTCAACAGGAGTTTTTAATTCATAGGATATAAATGCACTTGTACATACACATTCATTCATGAATCGCGATTTTCCTATTTACAAAGTATGTTCTGATTAGCGAAGCTAATCTTGACATATTTTACATACACATTACACAAATTCAAATTTGTACAAATCCATTCCATTGATTCCCGTGTTCATATATTATGTCATAACATATTTGAGTAATACTTTTTGCAACGTTGTCTAATTTAAAAAGGTCAATGTGGGCCACCTTATTAAGTTACATGACGAAAGCACAGGACCTTATGTGACAAGGACACGAGAATTGAAGATGTTTCCAACACTCCTATTTGCTCGACATTGCGGCAAAGTTGGCAATATTACGTTGTTATTAACCATTCTTATGCATTCTAACTACTGGAATCCGTTCTAAGCAATTGAATGAATTCGAAAGCACTCACAGGCGCAGCCGTCCACGCGCAGTGCGTTTTTTAAATGTAATCGTGAAGCATGAACGCCACTCGACTATGCTTTTTTTCAGGCAGCTTCCCAATGGCGTGGCACCAAACGTCACCGTTTATATGTATGATCTGCGTCGCCACAGGGGAGACATGCGACCGCTCTTCGTTCTCCACACCTGGGGACATGCTGGTAATTTCATTCAACTCTAGAATTTTATGATTCGGGGAGGAATAACCCGAACTACAAATGAATTGGCGACAAATACAATGTAAAAATATATTCATCTCGACCTCGTGATCGAGCTGGGTTTTTCTGACCCTAGGAAGCCCTTTCGGGCATCTAGGCATCAATGCATCAAACCAATTTTTTAAAATATATTAATCCCTGTAGCTGTGCATCGCAATGCAAAATTCAAGGAACATTGCTTCAAAATGAATCATTTCTGTTAGGAAAATCAAAAGAGAATGCGAAAAAAAATAGAATGACTTAAAAAGAGGCATATAGCAAATTCTGCCATTAATTTTTTTTCCAAACCACGCCGCAGGTAACTTCATCAAATTATCAGTTAAATTCGTTGCAAGTTCATCGTTGATCGGTTCATCGTTGGCTGTTTTGTTATTAAACGTGCTTTTTTCTCACAATTTCGACAGATTACGACATCGCACTGATAGAGCTCGCCGGATCCGTGCCCTTAAGCATGGATGACACGGCTCCCAAGCCCTGGATCTGCGTGCCTAGTGATGACGACATAGACGTGGCGAAACGCTGCAGGGCCAAGGTCTTCGGATGGGGGTTCACCGACTACAGCGAGATGGTCGAACCCGAACACCTGCGACAACTCGACGTCCGCATCCTAGAAGACGGCGACCCTGGCTGTCACGTGCCGGAGGATCACAGAGGTGTCATGTGCGCCTACGGGACCAGACGCGGAAGCGGGATTTGCTTCGTAAGAAAATTGCAATTGCGCGTTTAGCTTCTTATGTTGAACCAGTTCTCTAATTCTACTAGTTTTCCAGAACCTATAAATGATATCAACTTCGCAATTCACATCTTTGCTTCAATGTTGTTGTTTGGATTTTGGCATTTTGTTAGTCCTTCATACACGTATCAGCAATTTCTACTGGAATTACACTTTCAGGTGTTTCAATTTTCGGAATGTTTCTCTATCTTCATAGTTATTGGTTGGACAATATTCTTCACGTAATCATCACTTGTTCATATGTTGTGTCATTCACACGTATCCATTGAACTCCCTGCAATTACTACGGCATCCATTTCGATAATAACGTGATCTGTTCTAATCTTTTTTTTTCTTTGGCATTATAAATGTATGCTCATTTCCCTTTCCTATCCCGTGACGGAAATTCATATCCTTTCATGGTTTTCTCTTCTATTAGGGTGACAGTGGAGGCCCCCTCGTTGTCTATTACGGAAGGAAGGCGTACCTCATGGGTGTGACCTCACACGTGCGTGGCATGTGCTCCGACGCCCCCGCCACCTTCGTTCGAGTCAGTCACTTCCAGGAATACATCCGAAATTTCCTTCTCGATCTTTGATCGCTCCCAAACGGATTATTGAGGGGGTGGGGTGAACTCCGGGAAGAAATCCGATTGCATACTAATTTCACAAATCGGCATTCGATCGACTCACGCGCCTAATTTAATTTAGCTGGCACACACGCACCTCATTTTCTGAAATCCGGTGAATTGCACACAATGGATCACCATTCTTCCGAATAAAGCAGTATTCGACTCGTCCAACCGACACTCTCCAACTTGATTTTAAAAAAATTTCCACACATCTAGTTTTTGGAATGTGTTATCTTGCTTCTTCACCTCCAAGAGATGTCATATCGAGATGCGATCAACGTTGTCTAAAGATTTGGAACTTCGTCTCGCTATAATTTTGTAAAACTGCTTTTCATACAGTGGGGCTATTTCTTCAGCGAAAAGTGCGATTGAGAATTGCTTCTTTGATGCATATTAACGGAAATTGTTTTTCTCAATGCGACAATACCCAAGTAATATAGAGAGAAGTCATTCAGAATCTTGCGCAAAAAGCAAGTAGGAGTGATGGAAGGCGGCGTTACATCTATGCAACGCTGAGAAAACGAAACAGGGTCTGTCAGAAATAAATGTTAGATTTTTTTTCCGAATTGGTATTTATTTTTGGAGTGCCGCTCTGACATCTTATGCTAAATTCAGTTGAGCCCATAGAAGTGTTAATTCCACGACTCGATATTTCAGGAATGATACAGATGACTTCGGCGGACGCGAATAGTCAAGCTAAAATCGATTTTTAAAATTAAACAATGCTTTGGGTAAATTTTATACGCCAGGGAGTAGTAGAAAGCGTGATTCTTAATTGTAGTAATTTGTCAGCAAAACATCACACCTTCAATTCTCTAAGGATAGATTTTTGAACAAAGAACTATCTGATACTGCAGCTTTATTCCAGGGAAAATGCATATTTCCTGGAAATAAAGCAGCATTATTTGATAGTTCTCTGTTCGAAAATCCACCCATCGAGTCACCCTTTCCAGCAAGTGTAAGAGAAGTGCCAGTTTTCTCTGCTTTCGCTGTAAAGGTTGTGGTTTACTATGTACAGGTATATGGTTAACACCATTATTATCGACGTCCCCTGCTTCTCATGAATGCGGTACTGTTGTACTACTCAACCTCTGAATATTTCGGAGTGACACTTTCCTCACGTGGTGTTTGCTCAAAACTGCATTAATAATGGTTGCTCTGGAAAATTACACATAAAGGTGAGATTTTCGGCTAGACTTGCACCTACCGCTGCCTTTCGACAAGTTCATTCCCGTCAAAATAATATAATCCAAAGGTAGGCGACGTCCGATTTCCAGCAACAGTAATAATTATTATTTATTTCCTTGGTGAATCAATGACTCAAGGATTGAAGTACCCTTCCTTCCTTTCTTCTAGGATAAACAACTGAAGCGTCTGTTTCTGTCCTTCTCAGCCGCCCTTTTGCTGACCTTCACAGACAAACATGCCATCGTAATAAATAGAACTTGCATTTGGCACCGAAACACTGTAAACCGGTTGGAATTCATCAACCATGAAAATTCCATGCTACCAGCGAACTTCTGAAAATTTTCAGAGATGGCCTGGATGAACCATGTCCCATTTTCCTCGTGCTGGTAGGACAATTAATGTAGGACGAAGCAAAATAAATCCAACCAGGTTTTTCATGAACTGCTGATTGTTTGCAAAATATGGGACCATCGCTGAACACAAGTACTTGGATTGAAAAAGCAGAATAAGAGGCAGTGCTTACATGGTGTGCTTGACTGGGCTAAGAAAATGTAATCTGCATCGATGATATTTCTTGAATGCTCCGCAACAGAATCTGGCAATCTACTTCACTTTGGTAGTATTTTACTGTAGTTACTTCAAAAACAGCAGCAACCTAGAACGAATGGGTAATATAAAAGAAATACAAAAGGCCTTTTTAAATTCCCCCAAAATTTTCCCATCTAAAATTAACTCATTCTGGAGCTAATCCAATTCATGAAAAAAATGACCTGCATAACGGAGTGAATCATCTGTGAAGGTTTTCGGGTGTGTGTCTCATCTTCTGTAATATTCTTGCCACTTTTATTCAAGGTTACGTTTGCATTATGAACCACAGTAATAGCAAGCAACCTCACCAACGAAATCGGGTCGGCTCCAGGAGGGACTGATCATAGAGGGAAAAATCTGAGGAATTTTCAAATCCCCCTCGCTCTTGTAACTCTGAATATAGCCTGCATGAATGGAAGCTGGAGCATCGTTTGCGATAGAGGAATACGAGCAGGGTTGCATCCCCAGAGCAATAAAGGGCGGTTCGGGAATTTTTAAACCCAGAAGGAATGGGCCAATGGAGTGCCAACGCCCGAAGAAAGGAAGAGGCTTTAGTTCTTTCCATTCCAAGAGAATGAAGGGGATTGGGAAGGTCTAGTCTCGGGAAAAGAAGGAGCGCGGCCAGCATGGAGATCTTTACAGTCAATGGGATGAAGGCGCTTTGAGAGATTCAGAACATTTTGGACTTGCCATTTGGAAGGATCTCTCAAGCAATCGGGGAAGTATTTGCCTCAAGACACTTTGCAGTAGAGAAAATAATTGGGGAACTGTATTCGATTGATGGGTCAGGTACACGAGCATGGACTTCACTCCATGGGGTGAGGGGGGTTCTAAGTACACCAGGAATATCACTGATAGAGGTTTGTTAAAAGGTCAAAAGATCTATGGAGAAACTTGAAATCTAGGAGAGTCGGCTGGCACTGGGTCTTGGGAGCCTGGTCCTGCCAAAGCGTTTGTCACTTCACATCTCCTTTCCCATGCATATATATGAGGAATTAACCATGTAAGAGGAATTAATTCAGCTTAACGTGAAAATTAGTTTCAGCATTGCTCTTTGTCATATCCAGGTCCTGTAAGGACGCGGCAACCCTTGTCCCGGCATTGTTTCCTGCTCCTGCAAGAAGTAAAATGAAATTATCCCTGTTCCTTCGAAGCTGCACGCGCATAAGTGTAGATCTGGATAATTATCACGCGCAATATCCAGCTAGGAATAAGTGACACCAGAGGAATGGGTGATACGCGTCCAACATGATCTGATGAAGCGAAAGATGATGCTCCTCATGTCCCTGAGCCAACGTGTAATCCGACACGTGTCCATTTCAAGTGGAGTTTTGCACCTTTCCTCTCTGCTTCTAGAGTTCCATCTCACTATCTGTCAGAGAAGAGAGCAGATGGAGACTCCTGTGTCTATGCTGTGTTTCTGGGCCTCACTTGTGGCTTTGGTATATTGGTTCGATTTTACTCGAGCACAATGCAACATCGCTTCAAGGCCTCCAGCCATTTATGACAGTCGTAAGTTCACAATACCCATGACTATGAAAATTCAGAGGGCACATTGAAAAACATTCGTTTGCCTTGTCTTCAGAGGGATGCGGACAATGGTCTCCTCCCAGGCAAGCGAGGCTCATTAACGGATCTAATGTGCCGAGCATCACGTCGGCACCTTGGGTGGTATCTCTTAAAGTTGAAATCGACGAACACGAGGTCTTCTGTGGGGGAACGATCATTCATCCGAGATTCGTCCTGACCGCTGCACATTGCCTATTTTTTCGGTGTGTCTCCATCAGTATATCCGCGTTCATCGATCATGGGACTTTTCCACGATAGGAATTTGGCTCCTCACTAATTAAACCGAAGCTGACCGTCTTCACAACTTCCATGTGAAGAAAGCCTGCCTTGATTTGAAACTTTCATTTTATCGGTATATGAATACGTTTTATTTCCGAATTGAGCCTATCAAATTTCTAATAGAGTTCCTGTTTGCACAGTCTTTGCTGCACACTGAATGAAATATTAACGTCCTGAATTTAGTGCTAACTTTGAAAAAAAACAAAACAGTCCAGACTCATCAATATTTGCGGTACCTCCTATTGGAAGTACTAGCGTCTATGGTCCAACGCGGTATAGAGTGCTTGCTGGTTGTCTTTATATTCCAATCTAAATATTCTTGCCTCTTGACTTGACTCTTTATTATTCGTTTTCGCCACAATCAAGCTGTGTCAGTTTGTAAGAGTCGGTGAAGTTAGAGATTCTTCAGACATCATTATATCCTGCGAAAAGTTCCGAAAATAAGGATCTGGATTAATTTATGAAGCAGTCAGCCCAAATGCTGAAAAGATCATTCGCATTGACCCGACCCGACCCTTCCCGAAACAAGTGTTAACAATCAAGTAAAAGGGAGCCAACGACTAAGAAGCAAATATGCCGGAAAATGGTTTCATTCGCTAAAAGGATGGGTTCGTATCAGAACTATTTTCCATGAAAATAATATGGAGCCATTTTCGCAGAAATAAGCCACATACGAGCTGAAACTGGTTGATAACTGGATCTACCAGGATCTCAGAGCTTTGACACAGCAGATGACTCAATGCTATGATCAAGGTCATTCACCTGATCACTCCCACGAATAGGCAAATACAGTGAAAAAAATGATATTACGTAACCGAAAAATTAGAGCCATACCGAGCCCCTTCCTTATTAGTTCAAGAACTACTGAGTTGTTATTGGGCGTCATGTCGAATAGTTTTTTTCAATGAGCTTGTAATCATTTTAAATGTTTTCACCATCACAGAAAACCGCCCTGAAAGCGTACAGACACCTAAGTTTTTTTTAGCCCGAACCATTATTTGTTATACAGTGCAGAAAAGGTTCTGTAAAAACGCTTCATTCCTAGGCAAGTCGTAGAAAAAATGTGAATCTTTTGACGTATGAAATGAATTTCAGCGTATTTCCCCAAATAAACTTTTCCAGCGCAGCACGAAGCTAAGGACTTAGCGCCATCCGGATTCGTTTCCTATTAACCGTGCAGCATGAACACTATGTGCAATGCTTTGCAGGTCATTACCAGACGGTGAGGGACCGAACGTAACCGTTTATGCAAATAACCTGAGGTACCACTCTGGAGACAAGAGACCGCCCTACCATATCCACACTTGGGGATATGCCGGTGAGTCCTTCCTCCACTCAGATTC